AATCTCTTAATATCCATATCATCTCTAAAGAAAAAAATAATGGACTGTAAATTTATATTGCTCCAACCATCTAATTTAGTGTAATAAAATTCTATAGCAATGCAACATAGAATAGGATTTATTAGCCATAATGAAATATAAAAAAAGATGTGGTGGCAACTACTTTTTTTTGCCATTCAAATATCTAGGAGCAAAAATTCCTTCACTAAAATATCTAATTGGCAATACAATTACCACAATTGATGCTTTTCACATTACTTACTATTTGTCACTTGTTACTCATTTGATTGCTCATTGCAAAATTGTTTCCTATAGTAGTAGTAGTAGTAGTAGTAGTAGTAGTGTATATATATATATATATATATATATATAAATTGAAGTTGATATTATAGTTTTTAACACTTATTGGCACAACCTCCTCTTTTTGACATCTTCTAATGACAAGTTCTTCTCCTTACGCACTTTGATTAAGCATGGTGATTGATCTTGGTTTGATTTATGATTATTTTTTTTGGTTGTTTTATTCTTGTTTTTTTTTTCCTTACTTAGATGCACTTGCAAATCTTTGTTATCATTGCCACTTTAAATCTTCCACCTAATTTCTTACTCTAGACATCAATTCTTTTTCTTCTTCCATGTGCTATTGGACATTCAAAGAAAAAACAAGAAAGCAATCATTGTAGATATTGATGAAAGCCCATGCATGATGATTATACTAATAATAATATAAAAAAATAAGCAAGTGCTTGGTAATCAAATCTTATAATAGTAATCTCTTATTATTAAGTTCCATCTATATTTATATAGTGAAGAATGGTGTATGTAATATGACTCCAATTCTTATTTGATGAAGCAATTTAAAGATGATATTTTGATTAATAAAGTTATTTGATTTATTTTCAGTTATACAAGCCTATAAAAATATTGTGATAATACAAGGACAATAAGAAGAGCCTAGAGGATATGACCCTTCTAATGGCAAAGGCAATGTTGTAGAGATTATGATGAAATATGATAATGAATGTATACATTTGTTACAAGCCAAGTACAAGCATAGTAGTATTTGATTCTTAAGTCCTTGTCATGGTGAAAAAAAAGAAGAAGAAGAAGCCAAGTTAAATGTTATAAGATATATTAAATTATTTTATCAAATCTTCAGCTTCAAATTTTATTGAAATGTACAAAGAGCTTCAAATCTTATAATGAATTATGTTTGATGGTAGATACAATTCATCATATTTTGGCTCAAATCTCTAAAGGTTACTAAAAACCTACAACAAATGAGATTAATGACAGTGCCTAGTTTTGCATATTTATTAAAACTCATTAATCATGCTAATGCAATTCTTCACTTTACAATTGCAATTGCTTGCTAATAATGACCCAAATCTTAGAGACTCTAACTCACACCAAGTCACCTTTTCTTTGTTGTTGTTTGTATGATTGGAAGATGACATAGAGTCCTCTAAAAATCTATGTGAGCCATGTTGATTCCCTTCCTTCAGCTTTGCTAGAGCCCTACCTCTATCATGCACCCAAGTCTCAAATTCTTATTGGTGGCACTCAATGGCTAGTTGAACTTACTATGAATTCAATTAATATTCATCTATTTAAAATTTTGACATCATTGTATTTTTTTTACATGTTAATTGATAAGTTTGTTTACCTAAGAACCTTTGGAGCAAAACTTATACTTTAAGATGTCACCTTCTTTGACAATCAATATTATTTTTATTTCTAGTCACAAATTGAAGAAAGCAATATTTCATGATGTGATTAGTGAGTACTATGAGACAACCTTTATCAAATCTAACTAAACAAGGTACAACAATAATTGCAAATAGAGATTGTTTGTGTTACAATTGCAATAGATATGTATAAATGATTTTATCATTTGAATATTTGTCTTTGAATACATGTGTATTAGTGTTGAACACTAAAGCAAGTGATATACTAGTCCAAATTGAATAGCAAACAATATCAAAAATAAGTTGAAAGACACACTAGAGTACATAGCCATAGGTATTTGAAAAGATATTTGATATAATCATGGCATCATAGTATCATATTTGATGACATGGCATAGAAGAAAAAAAACTACTTTTGAGCTAATTGGCTCGTATAAAGTCATCTACACTAATCTTAAAGCATATTGTCACCAAATGAAGACAACAAATTGTAGAAATTATATAGATTTAGAGGTTGAGAAAGAAAATCACTTCTTTTAATTATTTGTCATCTACAATGCAAGTTTGTATGGTTTATAACATTATCAACTCATCATTGGCATTAAAAGCATTCATATGAAAGAAAAATATTGCGGAGTATTTTTTTGTTGCTACAACAATCAATTCAAAGAGGTAACTATTTCCTATTGCATTTGATATTGTCAATGCTAAAAATGATGACAATTAGTTGGATTCTTATAGAAATCAAAGATTATAATTTATGCATCTTGTCTATTAAATAGCAAACTTTTAAAGTTCATTTTTTTGTCTGATCAATAAAAAAGACTTATTTATCTTATCAACTATATATTTTCCATATATAAATATGTATTCTATATGTGCCATTTAGTTGATAATTTACAACAATAATTTAAAAATCCATTGCTTATATGACATCTTTGAGCAACAACTGTTTTTGATTTTAACATTGAATTGTCAAAAGTTTGAGATGTATATGAAGAAGCTACTAAGTACTTCACAACTATTGGATTATAATATTGAATATTATAAAAATTTGATAGAAATTGATTTGGCTACATAACTTTGAATATTGTAAAATCTCTCAATTCTTGGATCTTAGAAGGATGTGAGGTGTTATTAAATGCAATGTTGGAAACAATTTGTTGATAGCTTATGATATGGTACAATGAGAAATGTATTAGTGCCAACTTATGTATGAGACTATTATCAACTAATATACATTAGCAAATTGAATAATCAATAATATTTGCATGTAGCTATTGCATCATACCTTCATCTGATATTATCTTTAAATGCGTGTGAAAGCAATTCTTTGATGCATTATGTATGTATCATTTAGAAGATTGTCTTAGACTTATAAAATGATACATGCACTTACAATCGATGGTAGCTATTTCATATTCTATGTGTATATGCAATTAGTACTAAACTATTCATGCAACAATCAGTTATTGACTACATTTTTTACTTTTATACTATTCAAGTCTAGTAAGCAATTTATGTAGTAGACATCATCTCAATATTATTCATTGAATATTTCTTTATTGAAGCACTTCTTAATATAATGTTTAAGGATGCTATATTTGAGAGAAAGAGTCATTGTAGGACTTGCTTGTAACCTTGTAAAACTTAGGCTTTTAAGAACATGTGCTACAATTTTGACTATGTTTTTAATCTTCTTTAATATCTATATAATTGCAATTCAAGAAAGCTTAATATCATCACAAATATATTAAACTTCACTATTATTATTTATTAAGTCTTACATTTTTATTTATTAAAATATCACTTCTTTTTGTCTTAAATACATTTCAAGGATATATTTAAAAAAAAATCTAATTTGATACATGATTTTGAATTCACACAATACTCAATAAATCAATATATAAATTTCAAAACCTAATTTGATATATAAATATAATGTTTATGATATTATATCATAGATATTTGAACTCAAAAGTTATATACCAAATTGATAGAACTGCAATGGTTTTTTAGGAAAACAAAAATGAATAAAAGATACAATAGTATCATAATAATAAATCTTCAATAAAAAATAATTTACTTTATTTAAAATATTGTGTTAAAAATTTTAAAATATTTATTGATATTAATCATTGAAAAAAATATATATATTTCTTTTTTTTATGAAAATGAAGTTATAAACACTATAAGTTGGATATTTGGTTCTATGATAACAAACTCTACAGCTTAAAATAAGGAGAATGTATTCTGTGTTGTCAAAATGAACACTTTCAAAATTATTGGTTTGAAGTACGAGTTTTATTCTATTTATTCTTAATCACATAATAAGAACATGAACAAAAAGATTGAGGAACTGGTGGCACTGGATGTCCACTACTTGTAGTCAAAACATGAATATTAAAGACAAATGTGTGAGTCCAACAGTATTAACAGTGCCCCTTCAAACTCACAGTTCATGACTTTGTTGCAGACAGTTCACGAGAACAACACTGTTGAGCTTCATTGCAAGAGTCCCATCTGAAAACACCCTGAAATCTAGATGATTTTACACAACAATTCGCAACAAATTGACGCGCCAATCGGGTCCGTCAAAGGTGATCTTTTTTCCTGAAATCTTGTTACATTTCAAACATTGAATCGTCACCTGTTGCTGTAGTGGCTGCAGTTCAATTGTGGGAAACCAGGTTATCAGCGACCATAGCGAGGAACGGCTCCGTCGGCGAAGAAATCGGAACCTCGTGAGAAAACAGGCGCAGTGCCGCCCCGAAGTGTGCGCGGCACGCGCTAAAGGGCCCACTTCGTACTATATGTGGAATGTGAATGAGAGGTTATCAGGGTCATGGATAGGTTAGATATTATCAGGGGTATGAGGGGCACTTTTGCGATTATCGAGAATACAGGGGCTCTTTTGCGATGTATCAGCAGTATGAGGGGGCACTTTTGCGATTATCTAGAGTACAGGGGTATTTCAGCAATCTGCAGGGGCATTTTTTAAATTCTCCGTAAATAAAATTACGATCTTCGATTCGAATGGACGAGAAATTTTCAGGGAATGTCTATTCAATCAGTTTATAGGATTAGAACCTACCAAAGTTACTCTATCTTTATTTAGATAAACCAAATTTATCGATACATTTGTTTGTCAGTTTGCGAATGAATGAAATGGTGCTGAGACTCAACCTGTAGTTGGAATCTTGTGAATCCCGGAGTGTGCATTTTGTGACGAATCCTGGGGAGTTGTCTTCGCGGCGCTGCTAGCCTACCGTCATGGGATCAAGCCTAGTTTATTTAACAACCTCGGCACCAAATCGCAGGCAAGGACGAGTGCAGTTAAAGCCGCAAGGGAATCAAATATTGAACAGCTTTGCGTGTGCTCCAACGGGCCTAGCGATGATCTTAACTTAGATCTAGCTATCAAATCTAATGAAACTAGCTCTAGAATCCACTCTTTGCAACTTGCAGTGCTATCGTTGAATGTTCAGCAAGTGGTTCCCTTGAAATCGTTGCCTACAAGAAGCTTGATTCCGCTTGGTGATCCATACGATACGTTAGCAGGGGAAATGGCTAGTTTTTTTTTTTTTTTTTTTTTTTGGAGAGAGTTTTCAGGCGAGGATTTCGTTAGAGAAGTCTCGTAGCTTCACGTGAGGAATTTTTGGGTTAGTGATGTGTCGATAATAGCCTTTGTGTGTGTGTGGAATCTGGCAAACTATTGGAGGCTCATGCACTTGTGAGATGCCGTTGTAGGGGACGAGGGGAACCTGATGGTTGAGCTCTCAAGGTGGCGGAAGCAGAAGAGGGTGGTGACATTCTCGAATTTTTGGTGGTTTGTTTTGTAAGGTGGAGACTAGGGACTTGAGTGGGTGCTTAGGGGTCGGTTGAAGGGGGTGTTGGTGATTGGTTCGTTGGGTTGAATTTGGCTTCAAGGAAGTTTGAGGGGCAGAGTCAGGGCAAGCCCTGCCTCAGCCGGTTGGGAGTTATGACGTGCAAGGAAAGTTAAATTGCGAAGGAGAAGAAGGTTGTGGGCTTCGTTTTTGCGTTTGTGTGCTAGAATATATACATAAATATTTATTTCTCCATGTGCCTCTTCCTGTGGACGATCCACATTGTTGCCCAGATCCCTGCATTTTTGCGTCGTCTTCACATCGTGGAAACAAGATGAAGACCTCTGTCTGTGCGTCTGCTCTTCTGTGCGTCATTCTTGTACAATGTGTTGCGACGGGTGGGACGCGTATCTCAGGCATCGAGTTGCCGCATCGACGCCACGGAAATCCCCAGGAGGTGCCTTCACAGAACAGACCGTTAATTGGAATTTTGTCGCAGCCCGGTGATGGAATGGGATACTCGCTTACAAGCACGGGTGGCTTGGAGAAGCCAGTGCCTCCTGGATACTCAACATCCTACATCGCTGCTTCTTACGTGAAGTTCGTGGAGATGGGGGGAGCTCGAGCTGTTCCACTAATTTGGAATGAGCCCGAGGAAACTCTGAGAAAGGTCTTACCCTCTACCTTCTTAGATTGTAACTAAATGCCTCTATTCAAGCATGTTGTGGCTTTTTCTCTTCCATGGATCATGCGTGTTTCTCATTTGCTGTCATAGTATTGTTATTTGAGGCGTTGTTAGGAAATAATTGTGTGATCTTGGTGTGCATGGACGTCTCAGAAATTTTCCGCCATCAATGGAATATTGTTCCCTGGAGGTGGCACCAGCTTGAAGGACAGCCCTTTCTTCCGTGTTGCTGACAAGCTCTTCAATGCAAGCATCCATGAACCTTCTGAATGAATTTCGAATCCGCTACACCTTTGTTTTGTTGTGTTTCCCAATTACGGTGACAAGCCGTATCACTTCATGAACGAGAAAATACTCTTCACGGATGAAAGAATCTAACACCGTAACATCTCTTGACGCAGCGTGTCACCTGTGGAAACTTTGGAATCTTGATATTAAATGCTAGCTTTGTCATGGGGTGGTTGTGCAGTGGGCTATTGAAGCAAATGACCGCGGTGACCACTTCCCCATCTATGGCGTCTGCCTTGGATTTGAACTTTTGAGTGTAATTGTGAGCAAGGTGGGTATCCATTCCTCCAATTGTTGTTATCGACTTGAAGAAGTTCAACCAGCTGCAGTTTGAAGCCCTAAATGGAAGGGCATATTCTCTCATTTGAAGGCAATCTTCAGATTTCAAAGACTAATTCGTGGTGTAAGCAGAATCATGATATCTTGGAGCCGTTTCATGCTGAAAACAATCCTGGTCCACTGCTCTTCGTTGGCGACTCTGCTAAGCACGAGGGCATGTTTAAGTGGTAAGATACCACAGCCCTGAGGTCAAGTCCGCCGCTTGCTTGCTACATATTTATTTATTCATTCAAGGATTTCATTGGAAGGAATCTGGTATGCTGAAAGTTTTTCATTTTCATTTTCATTTTCACATTGTTTGTTTGTTTGTTTTTTTAATTTTAATTTTTTAATATTTTCTGCTCGCTGAGCGAGACCTATTTCCAGTGATCGTCGTCCCTCCTCTCGGTTAAAGCACCTCTTGACATTCTATATACATCATAATCTTCCCCTTATTTGGCATTGCTTTTGTTGTTCAGGATTCCACTTAATATCATTGACGAGCTCTATGAGCAGAAGCTTACGATGCAAAATCACAAGTGGGGCCTGTCTCCTGAAAAATGGATTTCTACTCCTGAACTGAACGATTTCTTCCAAATTCTCACTGTCACCCCTGATCTAAACGAAAAAGTAAGTGCTTGTTCAGTTCAGCGCCTTTCCACATCACAGCGCTCTGCTCCTGCGTTGAATAAACCTATTAAAGTCGAACCATCCTATCTTTTTGATTATCATCTGACACAACTTGGTGATTTTGTTCTGATGTTGCAGCTGTACGTTTCTACTGTGGAGGCTCGAGAGTATCCCATTCTAGGCGTGCAGTGGCATCCCGAGGTAACAACTTTCCCTCCTGTTTCTTGCTAGTTCAACTACAGATGTTTCTTCAAGGGACATAGTACATCTTTCGGGCCACCTTGAGATTCGTTTCATCAATTCCTCTGGTTTCCTGACAATGAGGTTTGTATTTACAGAAAAATGCTTTTGAGTGGGGCATTGACAACATCCCTCACAGTGCAGACGCCATTCGGATCACACAAAGCGTTGCCAACTTCCTCATTGCGTATGGAATTCCTTTTTCTTTTCATACTTCTCAATAAGATTTCATTGGGTTTATCACTTTGTGCTTCTCTTTATGTTGACATTTTAAAGTTGCTGTCCTACAATACCTCTGTGATTGAATCAAATAGAATCTGTTGCAGCGAGGCGCGGAAATCGACCCACACACCCAGTTCTTTTAAGGAAGAGCAGGATTTCTTAATTTACAACCACGCTCCTGTTTACACTGGCAAAGAAGGGTGCGTATTAGACCTGCTATGTATCACCAACTAGTTTTACAAAACTGTATGCATATCCATCTTTCAAGCTTTATTGCTGACAGCTTCCATATTCTGAATATGAATGCAGGAAGGGCACTTTCGATCAGGCTTACGTCTTCAACTGAACCAAATCTTCATCAATATTGTGGAACAATTGTATTCTCCTTTGTAATTTGTCGTCATTTTATGGAGTTGGCTCAGCAGCGTAGGGCTCCACCTCATTGTATTTGTTCCGCAGAAAGATAAATTAGTAGTCAATTAGGGATATTGCAGAATGTAATCGTTAGTATCTGTAAATACTAAGAGATATACATTCTCTTCTCTTTAGAGTCATGGCGGATTCAATTAAGAAGTTGGATTTTGAGTATATTTAATAGGTTCGTAAGGTAACGATTAGATTTAATTGGGTTGATGCAATTATTTAGAAGGCTTTACAAACCTTCATGTCTTTATGATTCAATTTCATTCTTTCAATGCGTTGTAAACATTGGAACTTGGAATATTTTTTTCATTACTTGGTAATTTCCCTCTTGTTTGAAATGTCAATAAATGAGATCACAACTTCAACATATCATGATAATTAGTATGTGGTCCTGGTACAGTGGGCTCCAGGATCATGAACAAGAATGGTGGAAGTTTTGTTCCTTTCCATAACAAGCTCAAAAAGTTTGCATATTAGCACTGATACATGTTACACTGATTCTACAGGATAAAAACTAATGTTTTGGTATAATTGTTCTAATTAGTTATCAAATTAAAGTGAGTGGATCAATTATACCATTACACATACAAAAAAGGTTGAAATAAGTAAAGTAATAAATAGATTTTTTTTACTTCAATTATCAGATGGAATAACATTAAAGCATGTGAGCTATTCTGCATTATTTGTCAATTAAGCAGAATCTATAAAAACAAAAAATGTGCACAACTATCTGTACAACTAATTTACATTATTTTAATTCAACAAATAATATTACATATTGCATATATGTGTATGCATGTATATGTGTGTGTGTCTATATATATATATTCTAAAATATAAGATTAATTCATAATAACACATTTACTATTTTAACCTTAAATATATAATCATTAATAAGAATGTGTGCATTTCCACACATGCTTTTGCACACACTCTATATAAGTCTTGACCATTGATAGTAGGCAAATTTATTTGCAATTTGGCTTTAGTAAATGATGTAATTTTTTAAAAGCAGAATATTGATACTAAAGATTATTTTATTTTGAAATTTAAGATCTTAAATTTGATGATTTGATAGTCCAATGTAAGTCTTATTATTGTTTGCTCAAAAGATATTAGTCTTAAATAGACTTTTCTTAAATTATTTAATTAAGGAACTTAAGATATTTAGACTAAAGATATTGGTATTATAGCAATTTCTTTGTCATTAATTATATGCTTTTCATTCTTTTATAATTAAATCAAGTTTTAGAAAAATTTAAATTAAGACATCTTTTATCTCATTTTGAATGTTTTTTTATGTGGAAAAAAAGATAGAATAAAAACATATAAAAGAAGGCTAAAAGATTAAAATTAGAAGAAAGCAAGGTTGTTACTTATAAAATTATTGAAGTCCTTTACATTTAGAGTTCTGTTTCATGTTTTAATTACAAATTATTTTAAGGGTAACATATATATATATAATTTTGTTTGTTACATGTAATTTTAAATAATAATAAAATTTTATCTTTTGACAAGGATGAAAAAAATTACTAGAAAATACTACTTTTTTATGTAAATTTATTTTGGACAGTTTTAATATTTTTAAATTTTTTGAACACTAGTATTAAAGTTGATTATTATTAATTTTCTTCAATAACATGCACAATCACAAATCTTATAATGTATCATTTTTTTTCTTGTGTATCAATTAAAAAGCTTCTTATGCATGAATTGCTTTTATCTATTTGGTTTCATAGGACAATCAAAGTATGTTTGATTTTCAAAAAAAATTGCATTTCTATGACATAAAAAATAAATCCTTAATAAAACATGTAGGTTCCTTTATATATTCTGTGATTATAGTATTGTACATAGCTAACATCAAATATGTGCAAATAGAATCTTTTATTGAAGTACAAAAAAATATTATAGATGTGATATAAATGTAAGCATGAAACTTTTGATTGCTAACATGAAAGACTCTGTAGAACTTTATTTATTTTGGCTAACAATACTAATAATACATCAAATTTTTAATGTGTTAAAAGCTAGACACAAAAGTTCATGCAAGAATCCAATTAACTAAAAGACGCTATTATGGGTGAAACTTGTATGACATGCGTAGTTCTTGACCAGTTTCAACTCTGAGTTCTTAGTATTCGTATTAATAATGCATATCGTCTTTCTTTAAAACAAATCGTCACGAGTTGCTCACATTTATGCCAGCAGAGTTAGTACAATACTAAAAGTTTCATTTTTTCTGCCTACCTTCGACAGCAGCAGGTGGCAATGACGACACTAAACACATTGTTTCTTTCTCTTCACCCTATCTCCTGACGAATTGTAGAAGAGTTAAATCTTTACCAATTTCCATTCGTCACAAACGATTTCTAGGCATTAGCTTTGATGGTTTGATTGCTCATTTTGAGTATCTGAAAATGTGCAACAGCACTCATCTCTTTAAGCGATTTCGCCTTGCTTATTGATGCTATTGAACTGCAGCTGCCATTGTTCATCTGGGAAACTGAGCTGTGTTCTGAAATGCAACCTCAAAGAGCTAAGTTCCAATTCCACACTGGTGTATTTTAATTCAGCGATGAATTCGAAGCACGTTACCTTGTGTCAGACGTTCTATCTCCCTGCTTTGGACTCTTAGAGAAGTTATAAATTGAGAAGAGGAAGCGGTAAAGTCGAGGATTAACTGACTTGGCTTGTGGTGTGGAGTGCTACAAGTTGTTCAAGCTTTCATGAGATGGTTCGCAGGCAGATCCCTTGAAAGTTTTTCGAGCGCAGTGGAGGACGTAGATACTGGTACTCGTGCAAGATGAATCTAATGCTCCAACAAGCGACAGTTTTCTTTGGTTGTATGGCAATGGAGATGGTCCAACCCATTCTATTGGATGTCATTGAGGAGCAGCTTGGAAAGAAGCCACGGGAGGTGCTGGAGCTCTTGCTAAAGAGCTACTCACGCCAGGTTCCTGACAAGGAGGCCGAAAGAATGCAGACGAGCTTTGAAAGAGTTTTCCAGCTTCTGTCCGAGGCTCAGGATGAGCTGGGTGGGTTCTCATGGTTCGACATGTTTTTGACATTACCTGTCGAGGAGAAGAAAGATGTAACAGCGGCTGTGTCAACGAAAGTGATGAAGACAGTCTGTGCGACGAAGGCAGTTGGAGTGAAAAAGACATCTAGGAGTGAAGAAGCCAGTGCGACGAAGGCAGTTGGAGTTAAAAAGATAGCTAGGAGTGAAAAAGCCAGCGCGACGAAGGCAATTGGAGGAAAAAAAACATCTAGGAGTGAAGAAGCCAGTGCGACGAAGGTGGTTGGGGTGAGAAAGACATCTAGGAGTGATGAAGCGTGTGCGACGAAGGCAGTTGGAGTAAAAAAAACAGCTAGGAGTGAAGAAGACAGTGCGACGGAGGCAGTTGGAGTGAAGAAGCCAATCGCTGTGAAGGCGAGGAGAACTGGTGTGAAGAAGACGAAAGTCGACGCGAAGGAAGTCGACGGAGCGAAATCGACGGACAATGCCACAACGACTGTTGTGGCAACGGATGCCGGAGGAGAGTACGATCGTCGTATGCAATTTCTTTTAGACGTTTTCAGCACGCTGTCGCTGTAGAATGTGGACGCTTTCACCTCTGGCGAGACGAGCGAATAGTGTCTCGAAACATTTCCAGCTGCTGTCGTAAGGACGATAGGTGAAAATCGAAACGACACGTTTAGGAAACTAATAACTTGCACTGCAGAGCTGCAAAAATTGCATGATCTGTTTAGCAAGTACTGTCGACTTCATGGCACATTTTCCTACTCAAAGATTGAATATATGCTCACCTTATGATGAGCATCACTATATCTCCGATTCTTTTCAAAAGGATATCCCCGAAGCGCTTGCAATTGCAGGTGGTCAAGAAAGCATAATATATGCTGATACCTTCTTGCTGTAGACTGGAGACTAAATCCTTGGGATCTATGATCTCAATCCGGTCCGAACCTGAGATTCTATGCTCATTCCTTTGTTCTATTTCATGCATTTCTTCCTCCATCGTCACTTCATCTTCTGGGTTTCTACAATGGCTTCGTGAGTGCAGCACCATAGACGTCTTTCCACTCCCACAACATCCCAGAAACTCGTCGAAAATACCAACAATCCCAGTTTCTTTTCTCCTGTTGGATTCCAAAGTTCTAAATTACTTCAAAAACATGGTTTCTCTTAATTGAAAGGATGGCTAATCCTGACTGAAAACCTTATTGGACCGAATGATGGGTAGATTACAGAATTTGCACTATAACGATTTGCAACTACTTGGCTGGCAAAATGTGTTTGTAACAACGCCTCCACAAGGAATATCACATTTCCTCATATCAGCACAATTTTGAGAATTGCATGCGTTTTGCACTTGAAGTAGATGGATGAAGGGTAGGAGAGTTGCAGAGGGGCATGGCAGCCTCTAGACGTGGTTCTCACGTTGCTGAAGTTGTGTTAGCCAACTGAAATGGCTTGCACAGACTAGGGTTCACAACTTCATCATCTATTGGATGGATCAAGTTTCTGTGTAACCACTTCTCTTTGAATATCAGTATGACCTCGTCGTATGTTTCATTCTTATGACTTTTTAATGCTAAGTTGGTTCTTTTTACGGTATCATGTCAATTTTTGAACTTGAGAAATTTCTTTGCAGACCTCAAGTTGTTACAAGAAAAGCTTGCTCTTTGGACAGTTTCTAGGAAAATTTGTAAGTTTGAGTACAATCATAGAATTAAAAACTGATAGTCATAGGTGATTCATTTTAAAAAATGGACATATTCCAATTTTAAAAAACAATCCTCCATTGTATTCTAGAAGAACCTTTTAGAAAAATATAGTACTATGTTTATATATATATATATATATATATATTCATATACCACTGGAAACCTATGTTGTTAGCCACAAAAAAGCTATAAAAGTTTAATTTGTGGTTGCTAAGTCAAAAATTAACTACTCTTAAAGAAATGTTGACCAAGAAAAGAATTAAAAAAAAAAAATATATATTATAGCCAAGTTAAAAAATTCTTTAGTCTATTTAGTTTTTAATTCATGTTTTTCATTCATGTTTTTAATTTTATTGATAGTTGCTTGCATTATGTTAAATGATAATGTTCTTGTGGGATTTGGAGTATGGATCACTTATAATATAGGAATAAGAATATTGAAATATAGAATCAGATTTGGAGTTTTGATTTGAAAGGCTTGACAAGATATAGTCTTAGATTAATTTGGCAACAAGCGTCAATTTATAAGGCAAATTTTGCAGTACAAGAGCAAGCTAAGAGAGAGCATACTATACCTTAGATGTGGCAT